TCTTAAAAGAGGAACAGAAACAGGGTGGAGATGCCCTAGGATAACTTGCCCTGAAAAGAGGAACAGAAACACAGAGAGACTGTCACATAGAATGGAATTTTACAGAAAGGAACTTTTGCATTCACTCTATTTTGGGTAAGGGGCATGGAGCCCACCTTGACCTGAAAACTTGGTCCTCACAGTTTCACCTCCTTCATGTAGCCCACTTCTAAGACCTTAGGTATCATTATCCATGTTGCAAATTTAGCATTAATGTTTGCCTGGATTACTACTGGTTGAGCATACCTACTTTGAAATTTGATCCTCCAAACTGAAAAGTTTGAGCCATGATATGATGCTACAAGTGGAAAATTTCACACCACGAAACTATTTCCTGCATAAAATAATTTAAGAGTATATAAAATTACCTTTGGATGTAATGAAACATAAAGGAATTTTGTATTTAGATGTGGGCTCCGTCCTCAAGATATCTTAATACGTATGTGCATATATTCCAAAATCTAGACTGAAACATCCCTAGTCCCAAGCATTTTTGAATAAAGGATACTCAGCCTGTATTAACAGCAAGTGCAGCAGCAACATTCATGCCAACTACCTTTTACTGAGACCCATTATGTGCAGGGGACTGAGCTTATCACCTCACCTTCATTACACTGGACCCTTGACTTACAAACTCGATCAGTTTCCAGGGGGCTGGTTGTAACTCAAGTTGTAAGTCAACACAGCTGAGATCTGAGTGTTTACCTGCATATACACTATAGATAACAAGAGGCAGATGAATCACCCATTAATCTACTTAACCCAAGTTGTTCATATGTCAGGCTGGTTGTAACTTGAGAGTCCACTGTACCTCTTAACATTGACAACTCTGCAAAGTAGGTATGTGTTGTTAATTCCATGTTATAGATAAAGGATTGAAGATTGAGGAGGTGAAATAATTTGCCTAAAGCTGCCTTTGTGGTGAGTGACAGTGTTGGGATGAACTCAGGTCTAATCCTAACACCAAAGTCAGCTTCTCTGACAATTCATCTTTCTGTTTACCCATTTCATGTATATTGTAACTCGCCAAGCAGATTGCAGATTCTTGGAGTGCTGGTCACTTCATATTCCAGTACTTAAAGTGCTGATGCAAGTGATTGTCGAAATCGCTTCAGTGTCTTCCAAGAATGTTAAATTTTTTTGTTTTGTTTTGTTTTTTTGAGACAGGGTCTCACTGTGTAGTTGAGACTGCCCTGGAACTCACTATGTAGCACAGACTGGTCTTGAACTCACAGCGATCCTCCTGCCTCAGCCTCCTGAGTGCTGGGATTACAGGCGTGCGCCACCACACCCGGCTTAGAATGTTAAAATTTTACAAAGTTCTGTCGTGGTTGAATTTTACATTTAGTGTATAAAGATCTTAAATCTTATGTGTCACAAGCTGATATATTGCTTTAATACATTGCATCATCTTTAAGCGAGAAAACCATCTATAGTCAAACAATGACAATAACAGAGGAAGTTATCTTCCTAGAAATGTATTTAATGAGCTGGAGATTGAAAGCAATTCCTTTTCTATGTTAATTTGTTTCTCATTTTCAAAAATCTGTACCAGGAATGGTTTGGCTTTTTCCCTCCACCCCTACCCTGATTTCTATGAGAAAATCTCCAATTACTTTAAATGAATAGTTAATATTTATTCCATTGAATGTAAAGTACTACATAAATGCAGCTTCTGATCAAGCCCTCTAATCACCCTGCTTTTAGCTAGAATAGGGTCCTAACTTCTATAAAGATACTGAAGTTGACTCTATAATTACTAAAAAGATCTCTTGGGTTGGGAATGAGACAGTGGTAAAAGATAAGATTGCCAAGAAGGATAATATCCAGTTTAAGAAGACTATAAGTGCCTGTGAAGAAGCTTGGACTTTGTCCTGAAATGGGAACTCATAAAAAGTTCTTGATGCTTCAGGAGGGAGGAAGATGAGAGATGGATCAATGTTCAAAGAAGTTATTTGGCAATAGTGGAGGAAAGACACTTAGAAATAAGGAAGATACCTAGAAAAAGTGAAGTGATCCAGCAGAAGGTGATGGAACACTGGGTAAATGTAATAAACATGGACAGAAAAAGAACATTCAAGAAAAATGTATTTTTTAAAAAATCAAAAGAACTTTCATGGCTGACAATTGGATTTAGCTATCATTACTGCTCTGATTTACTTAGATGTGCTGCAATGTCAAAGCTACCAACTAAAAAAAAAAACCCAAAAATATGCCTATCATTTTCCATAAACACCTATTTTGTTTTCTTGGTTTTGCACTGACTATATAGTACTTGACATCATTTCCCATATAGGACAGAGTATAGAAAGAACACACACTTTGCAGCCAGGTATTAGAAGCTTGGTTGTACTACTCATTTGATATACATGAACCTCTCTCAAACTGAGAAATCACACTGTAATCTGTGAGATCCTATACAGATATGGTGTAGAGTCTAAAATGCCTTCAAGAAAAATTTGGCCACCATATTGGCTGCACTGTTATTATAAGTTTGAATATAATTTAAATGAATTTAATGATTCCAAATTCTAAGCTTCATAGAAATGTTGATATCAATAAATACTAACATTTTAATGCCAATACTCCATAAAAATTTAAAAGTAAATATCATTGGCATTTTAAATTTTCTCTCCTTTAAAAGTCACATTTTTAAAAAAATATTTCATTTTAGTTTAGCAATTTGGCTTTGTCTTTTTCTTTGAAGACAAAAAAGTTAGGTTATTATAAAATCTACTTACGAAATTTAGGGGACCCCTTATGGTCTGTTAGCCTTGTAAGCGTGAAGATGAATCCTGCAGGATTTGCAATGAAATTCCACAATTGACTCTGTTTGAACCATGAATAGCAAAGATGTGTTAAATAAATGGCTAATGGTAAATTTTAATATACTGATGAGGTTGAAAGTACTGATAGGGCTTTTGACGGTCTCCATGTTTTATACTTTATAGGGTTCTGTAACTATACGAGTAATTAATAGAAAAACTAGAAAGACTATAAACACACGTATGTGTACTGATGCTTCTAATCATCAGCATGAACTATATAAGTAGGATTTTCTAATATGCATGATGGGAAATTTACAGAGATATAATTTAATTATCAGGTATTATTAAATCTCCATCTCACACACACAAACACATATATACATGAAATACATACATATATATATATGAAATTTGCACCCCAACAGAAGTATCTAATTTCTACCCAATAAAACGTTTAAAACTTTTTATGACAGCAGGTTTCCCCTAGGTTTAGATGAGAAAGAAGTCTGAAAAATATTTCGCTTTTTTGCAGCATGTATAGCAATAGTGGACCTGTGCCAGCAAAGGCCTTTATCACAGTATAAATGGGGTTTTAAGTGTTTGTTTCCAGGGCAGGTTCTCCCCGTCCAGGCACTTCCCAGCCTCATTGTTCCTTTGTTCTAACGGATGTACGAAGGATTGACTGTTTTGTTTTCTGGCTCAGAGAGATTAGATAAAGTCTGCATTTTTGAACTTCACCCTTTAGACATGCAAACTTTAAAAATTCATTTTCTATAGATCATATTTTGCAGATTGTGTATGTTTAAATTACGTCTGTTGCATTATTTTCTTTAATCTTCATCTGACTTGGTAGGAGACGGATGACAGGATTTATCCCTTCTGGACTACCACTAGAAACAGCTGTCTCTCTCATCCTTGTCGTTACCATGCTACTTCAGCAAAAAAATGCATCTTCTCAGCTTGGGTACCACAGAGCTATTCCTGAGGCTGACTGGCTATTAGAATTTCATGATAGAGAAATGCCTCATTCTTGCCAGGCAACAAGAAAACTTGCTGTGAGAGGAGATTATCTTCTTTCCTTTTATTATGGCATCATTCATTTTTATAGAAGACAAATTTTAAATAATATTTACCCACAGAAGAAACATTAGCTTTTTCTCAAGAACCTATAAATAAAAATCAACCTGGAGATTTTTTAGTTTATCTTAAAGGTCGGAAAGTTAGTTCTAAGGTTCTACCAAGGCTTTGCTGTGATGGATGCACTTAACTATCATCATTTTAGTTTCAAAGAAAATTTTTGTTATACTTTTGGCTCTATTTTCTCAGTGATTCAGATGAAAATGTTTTTTACAATCAAATAGAAATAAGTTTATATTACTGAATGCTCATTCCATGCCAGTTAACATCTCCTCTGTGTCTTGTTAATTCTCAGAGCCCTCTTACAATGTAAGTATTATATTGTTATACTCTCCAGGCAGGTAGGAAAATAGAGGCTTAGGTGGGTTAGGTATTCTACTTTTCACTCTACCAAAAGTATGGCTGCCCACTAAACATCATTGACCTAGTTTCTAATCCAGCAATGTGCTCTTCATCTAGTTAAAGTGCAATAGTGAACAATCAACACAGGCAAAGCAGTATTCCTCAACTGACCATAGCTTTAAGAGTTGCAATGAACATCTGATGTAAAACTTCTCCACTACTACCTGCTCTGGGGACTTCAAAGTGCTTCAAAATTAAGTTATTAAAATTCTAGGGACATAGAGAAGCTCAGCTGTTAGGAGAATCCATTTTGGTAAGCCAACAAACCTACCTTAGTGAAATAATCAGACCTGTAACTTTTTTGGTTGTCTAACAGCTAAAAACCATCCAAGGTCATGTATACATGACACCAACAGTCAGTAACCTAGGAAAAGTGCAGTATGAATTCCAAATTATTTCTTAATATCTATATTTCTCTATTCAAATCTTCAGTTTTTATCCAGGCACAGCTTTGATATTTGTCAGTGTTGGAAAAGTTTGCTAAATATGTAAGCCAAAGAAAATATAATTTTGCTTGAATTTTCAAGGTCAGAGATACTTTAACAAAGTTATATTAGAAAATAGAATTCACATAAGTAGTAGCATTTATTTACATAAGCATTTATTTACAAAAGCCTCAAAACTATGTTCTCTTTCTTGAAACTTGTTTTGCAGATCCTTTACCTCCTGCTAGATTTGAAGTCAATAAAGAGAAGATTACTTCAACCAGCTTGCAGGTTTGGTGGACTCATTCTCCTGGAAAAGTCACCTGGTATGAGGTGCAGTTATTTGATAATAACAAAAAGATACAAGGCGTCCAAATTCAAGCAAGTACTTCATGGAATGAATACACTTTTTTAAACCTCACTGCTGGTAATAATTATAATATTGCCATCACAGCTGTTTCTGGAGACAAACGCTCCTCTACAATTTATACCAATGCATCAACAGGTAAGACCCATATTGTCCATGGTTAATAATCTGTCACACCTTTGCAGTTATATGCTTTTTAAGGAATGGAAATGAGAATGTACCCAGACTATAAATAAATAAGCTCACTAACCTCTTAGAAGGCAGTTGTATGAGATATATACAGATATATAGATATAGATATAGATATAGATATAGATATAGACAGACATAGACATAGACATAGATATAGATATGAAAGACTAGAATGATGCAGGGTAGAGGTTATACCACTAACTGGTTGGGTGATCTTGACTCCTCTGGACCTAGAGTTTTCTCCAGTTTGAAGTAGATGCTCTCTAATGTTCCTTTTAATTCAAACTCTGGCAAACAAGATTTTGTTCCTCATTTTCTATGTTTGTAAAGCTTATTTCATAAATGTTTTTTTCTGTTTTGTACATTCTAATCATAATATCAAGTCATGATGTTTTCTAAATATTCATTTGAAACAATTCTTTTCTCCCTTGATGTAAGTACATCCATGTATCTCTGTGATACCCACAGCACATTTCCACCTCCTTCCACAAAATACCTATCTTCCATATCATTTGCTCGCCCTTCTTTTTCTTTCTTGTTTTAGTTCCCTCTCTTTCCATTTTTCATCTCTTATAGTTCTTTTCTTTGTCTTTTTCGTTTACTGCAATGCCATGTTATACTGCATTGGGAACAACAACCTTAGTACCTATTAAAAAGGGGGAACAAATCCTCAGTAGCATGGAAACTAGCAGAAAGAATCAACAACTGGGATCTCATCTTATTAAAAAGCTTCTGTGCTGCAAAAGAAACCATCAACAGAACTAAGAGACAACCTACAATGTGGGAAAAACTTTTTACCAGCTGCTCCTCAGACAAAGGACTATTATCTAAAATATATAAAGAACTCAAAACAACCAGCCCCCCCAAATATAAAGACCCAATTCTAAAATGGGCATCTGAAATGAAAAGCTATTTCTCAGACAAAGAAATAAAAGCAGCAAGTAAATATATGAAAAAATGCTCCACATCACTGATCATTCAAAAGATGCAGATGAAAACAACACTCAGATTTCACCTCACTCCACAAAGAATGGCTGCTATCAAGAAATCACACAACAACAAATGTTGGTGGGGTTGTGGGGAGAAAGGAACCCTTCTCCATTTTTGGTAGGAGTGCAGACTGGTACAACCACTATGGAAATCGTTGTGGAGATACCTCAAAGAGCTGGGACTAGAGGTTCCATTTGACCCAGCCATCCCTCTGCTGGGTATCTTTCCAAAAGAATTAAAAGAATCATACCAGAGTGATATATGCGCACCCATGTTTATAGCGGCACAGTTTGTAATAGCTAAAACTTGGAAACAGCCCATCTGCCCATCAGTTGGAAACTGGATAAAGAAGATGTGTTTTTTCTATAAAATGGAATATTACTCAGCCATAAAGAATGAGAAAGTAGGTTCATTCATAGGTAAATGGGTACATTTCGAGCATATACGCCTAAGTGAAATAAATAAGTCACACATGTGTAAATACTGAATAGTTTCCCTAGTGTGAAAAACTAAAATAGTACTCAAGATCCTAACAGGAAGATTAGCAACATGAAATAGGAAGAAAAGGACAAAAGGTGTAGGGACAGTGAGAAGGATAGGGAAAGGGGAATAAGGGAAAAGGAAAAAAAATATGAGAAAATGTAAAAATGGAATTAAAGTGTTTGAAGGTGGGGAGAGGAGTGGGGAAAAAATGAGAACCAAGACCTGGCATGTAAAGGTACAAGATCCCAGTAGTGAATGTAACTGTACTGTTTACCTAGAATGTACCAATAAACTCAATTTTTTAAAAAGGTGGGGGGGAGGTGAGTTCTGATGCATCTTTATGCTGTGGACTTTTGAAAAGATCACTACTGAAAATTCAGTGAAATATGAAGAGTGCTAGTATTCGTTATTGCTGTTAAACAAGTTAAGATCTACAAAGAAACATCAGTGAATTGTGACTTCTAATTAAATATGTTTCTGTGTCCTGTGAGGGAATTAATGAATAACATTTGCACATCTGCATTTTATCCCACTAGTGCCTTCTCCAGTAAAAGATATTGACATTTCCACAAAAACTAATTCACTTCTGGTTTCCTGGTCCCATGGTTCTGGGAAGGTGGAACAATACAGGCTGATGTTAGCAGATAGAGATATTCTAGTTCAAGACAGTATTGTGGACAAACAGGATACTTCTTATACTTTCCATGGGCTGATACCTGGCCATCTCTACAACCTCACTATTGTGACCATGGCTGCAGGACTGCAAAACCACAGATGGAAACTAGTCAGAACAGGTAAGTGAACAAAAAGAATAGGGTTCAAATCAAGTTTGAATGGAATTTATTGTTATTTAAATATTGGTAATGTAAAAAAATTGAAATTTGTATAAGTTATAGAAACACCCTATTTATCCACTTTCCTATGCAGAAAAAGAACAATTCCATTTTATTCTAGAGTTTAGGCTAGCCCTTGGCAATATTTTCAAGTAGACAAGCTCCCAGCTTCTCTTTTTTTAATACTCCATTTTCCTTGCTAAGGATTTCTACTTCCTTCTCTTAAAAATCACTTACAGTGAAAAAGGATCACTTTTCTAGGTGCTATATGTAGACCTACTCCATGTGACAGCCATTTCCAAAACACTTTGTTCTAGGTCCCAATAACAAAGTACCTATTATCTCAGCCTAACATAAACTAATAAAATAATCTGTGCTAAGTATTAATTAACAATTCATACATGTATTCATTCATTCATTAAACCAATATTATTGAATATAAGCTATATGCTAGGCATTGTTGACATAATAACATTCAAAAAGACAAATTTTTGCCCTCATAGATCTTACATTCTAGTATATTCAAATGTTTCTAGTAAGTCTGTGGTGTTAATAAATCCACTTTCTTAATAAGCTATCTAATTTTAAGATAAACTCTAAGCTATGTGATACCTCAGAAATTACTCTAGTAGTACTCTTATTCTAAGTCCTAAAAAATAAGAGACTAATGGGAAAGATATTGGAGACAACTAAACATTTACCTACATTTTATAAATGCCTCAAAAATATACAGACATTCCTGACAAAATGTATATGTAATCTTAAGAATTATTATACATACTAAGCAATTTACACTTGTAAATGACTTAAGAAAAATCACTATGCTATAACCATTCTTTTACCAAAACCATGTTAATTTATATTATGCCACTAGTGAGACCTAAATTACGACATGTATAAGAGGTAGAAAATTTCTCATCAGTGTTTCTCCTTTGTCACCATGTTTTCTTTTTATTTTTTCACCATGTTTTCTTTGATGAAACAATAACATAATTCTTTAAATTTATCATGATTTAATGTAAAAAGAAGATATTTTAGCATGCAAAATTAATCAGTTATGTTGTTGATATTATAAATATAT